CTGCGGGAGCTAAGCACTTCGTCAGAGAAGTCTTCTCCTAAGGTCTCACAGGCGCTTTGAATGCGCAGTTGTTCCATTTCCGGTCGGTATAAAGTACCATCTTGGGTCATAAACTGACTTCCCTCCGCGTCCATTAACCATATGGAATTCTCATGAACTAATTCTGTCAATGGAGAATTCTTATAGACCTTCGTTTCCTTCTTTCTTGGGAACCTTAACTCCCTCCACGCATGTGCGTTGTGCTGGTAAATTACGATAGGAGCACCCCGGCCCCCATACTTGTGCGTTCCGGAGTAGATAAAACCGTCGGTGATATCCTTGACGTGTATGCGCCTTTCTAACGCGGTTTCCAACTTCTTGATGTTTTCGATGGTTCCTCCGGTCCTATTAGTATTTTTTTCCCATTTCCTGATGGCTTCTCTTCTCTTTAAGATTAATTTACCACCGCGGGAGGAATCTTCGAAGAACTCTCTAACCAGCTTCCCTACGCAGTTACCTGGATGGCGCATTGGTTTTAACTCTTTAACATCCGGCGTCTTTATCTTGTACGCACCGTAAATGACTACGGTAACCGGGTAAGCAACCTCGTAGAAGAGCATATCTATTCCCTCAAGTGCTCCCGGTCGCGTGTCCTTGTTTAAAACAAACAGGTCCTTCCTGCCAGACGCCCGTATTGGATTCCTGCCCTTTTCTATCATCCACTCGCCGTCTAAATACTTTATAAACGTCAACTCCAAACGGTAGTCGCCTTCGGGCATCAAATTGATAATTCTTTCTGCTCTTTCCTCGTCCATCGTCTCGTCTGTATCTCCCTCCATAAATGTCGTGAAGGCAAAGTCGGCGTCTAAGCGGTCCAGCACCTGAGTTCTGAGCTTGCGCACAGTTTTATTTCTAATGCTTTTGATGGTATCCATCTATATATAAAGGATATTTTAACCTCCGTTTGCGGTACCCAAATACAGCAGCAGTAAGGACTTATCGCGCTGCCCCCGGATCGCGCAAGACCCCCTGTAGGGCCTTTAACCTACCTCCGAAACCCCAGGGGGGGCTGGGGTTTTTCGATATGTCATTTTTTCAAATGCCGGCGCTACGCGAGTCCCCCTTACTGCTGCTAAACATTACGTCTGAGATGTAAAGAGGTCTATTTACCATGAAGCAAAATTTAAATAACTATATGAGAGACCACCCTGTTTAAAGACAAAAAGGTTATTGCATGCACAAAAATACACCTTAGGTGCAATGTTTACCCATTTCAGACCATGTGTCATTCCCTAGAGTATAATTTCTTTGTTTAACGGTTGTGCATGAGAAGACAAGTTAGGATGATGTGCACTAACGTTATATTGACTGACTGATGTTTGTAATCCCTGATGGCATTCCCTAGAGTATGATTTCTTTGTTTAACGGTTGTGTATGAGAAGACAAGTTAGGATGATGTGCACTAATGTTATATTGACTGACTGATGTTTGTAGTCCCTAATAGCAGGAGCAGAGGAAAACCGTAATTACAATGCGATCACTCAAATACCTGAAGATGGTGTCCCTGAAGAACCTGTTCAACCAGTTTTACACGAGACAAGGGATACAGAAGAAAATCTAGATGTCCAGGGCACGTTGGGTAGCATCATGATGTTCTTGATGCGGCAGAGTTATATAGCTGCGCTTATTATTATGATGGTGAGAACATGTTATGAGAGTACAATTGAGAGTAATTGTTTTGAATCAATTCTATTGTTGTTGGTTGTGTGTAAGTTTATAGTTTGGAAACATCACTACTTCAACCTGTGTTCACATTTATTTTAAACAAAAGGCCAACTTATTAATCAAACCCTGAAACAAACAACCTCTGGGGTGATCTAAGTCAGGGCACAGCTAACTCACAGATCGAACCCTAAAACAACATCTGGGCTGATCTAAGTCAGGGCATGGCTAACTCACAGATCGAAACCCTGAAACAACCTCTGGGCTTATATATAGGTCGAACTGTAATTGTAATATGCCATAATATTTTTTAAGCCCTGGTACATGTGCCAGCCACTGCTTATTATGCTGGTAATTAGAGGTCTGACAGCATCATATTCCATCTCATAGGCCTGGAGCATCACATACCATTCATGGCTGACATTCGTTCTGTTACTCTGGGCTTGTCTGATATGGATCACACCATTTGCTCGTTGGTTCTGCATGGTGTCTTCCCCAGGTCTGGTCCTGTATGCTGAGTTTCTTCTCCTTGTTCAGTATGTCTATGGGCTGAGACTGAAGGACAGCGAACTGCCCATTCAGGACTCTACTGGGACATTTGATTATGCTGAGCTAGGGCTGAAGAAATGGAGGTATCCCTGCCTTCATCTTGGAGCACAGGTCAGAAAGTTGTACTTTATAACTTATCATTTTGAATTATGGTGCTTCCCATTTTGTTCATTCGTTTCCTATATTTGTTTGCTCATTCTTGCCAAAATTCCTTTATTTATTATCTACTTGGTATTGTGTTCATTCATCCTTCCATTTATCCATCCATCCATCCACCCACCCATCCATCCACCCGTCTGTCCGTCCGTCCATCCGTCCTTCCATCCATCCATTCATCCATCCATGCATTTCTTTGTTCGTTTTCTTTCTCATTTTGCTAAAAGTTATTATTTGTTATTTCACCAGACTCTCTTCACATGGATATTCTGGTTAACCCTGCGCCAACACATACGTGAAAAGAAGATAAAGAAAAGAGCAAGAAATGCTACCCAAAGTGGCATCCCTCTGACCAGTTTAGCACATCCATTTGTTCAGGCTTTGAGGAAGATGAGTAAGTCATGAATTTTAGTCTTGTCATTTCTTTAGTCTTGGCTGTTTTGTGAAATGTTACATGAGCATCATAGCTGTGGGATATTTTGGGTAGCATGGGTGAGCAGACTTTATGGGTAGGCCAAAGGTGATGGGAAATTTTGGGTGTTGCTAGTGATGGTACGCTTTTGGGTAGCATGGGTGACCAGACCTTATGGGTGGCAGAGGTGATGGGAAATTTTGGGTGGCGCTTGTGATGGTACACTTTTGGGTAGCATGGGTGATCAGACTTTATGGGTGGCATGAGTGATGAGATGAGTTTCATGGGTGATGTAACATTTTGGGTGCCATGGGTGATGTGACATTTTGGGTGACATTTGTGATGGGACATTTTGGGTGGCTCTAGTGGTGGGTCATTTTGGGTGGCATGAGTGATAGTAATGTTAATGTTGATTGTTCTACAACAGGGTTAAAAAACGGTATGTCAGTTGCCGGTCATCATGACTACTAAAATTAGTTTTAGCTCGGCCGTACCTGGCTCAACTTTACTGTCTAGTAATAATGAGGGCAAGGGAAATATTTGACTGGACAAGTTCCAATTCTGGCTGAATATTGTCCAACCACTGGCCATTATTTTAAGCCCTAACAAAGGGTGTAGTATTACTGCATAAAATTGTTTTGAATCATCTTTCCTTTTCTTCCATATTTAGCTTCCCTGGACCCAACATCTAGTTCAAGTAAGTAACTTAGGATAAAAAATAAGTTATGAAAATAAATATGATGATAATATTAACAGTGAACTATGATGTGGTGATGGTGGTGATGGTGATGATGGTGGTGACGGTGTTGATGGTGGTGATGGTGGTGATGATGGTGGTGATGGTGGTGGTGGTGGTGGTGATGGTGGTGATGGTGATGGTGGTGATGATGATGGTGGTGATTGTGATCTACAGTTATAATAGTGTTGGTGGTTATAGTGTTGGTGGTAGTTGTGATGATGATATTAATTTTTAGTAGTGATAGTGGTGATGGCCTAATGGTGATAAAGAAGAAAGAGAGGACTTCGTTTAATGAGTTGAACAAAATAGCTATAAAGCTAATAAACTTGTGTCCCTCAAAAGTAATAATGTTGTTGTACCGTTGATGACAATGATGGTAATGCTGCTGATAATGATCAAATATTGATGGTGTCGTTGGCCGCAAGGATATTACAACATAACCAATCATCAATGACATTTCATCACAGGTCCACCAGATGATGTTGACGGCATGGATGCTAGAGCTTCTGATGATGCCAAAGCATTAATGCTATGGGTCAAGTCTGTACTAGCCAAGTACTGGATATTACTCTGCTGCGGAGCATTCCTATTGGTTGGTTTACAAAATGAAGTATCTGTCTATCAAATTGGTTACATGGCCATATTCCTCTTTATACTCATATGCTACCAGATTTCACTGTCAACATGGCGCATTGTCCTCAGACCCCTGTGGTGGGTGATGGTCATTTATTCTATCTGTATCCTATTGTTAATCTATACATATCAGTTTGACAACATGCCCGTATACTGGCACAACGCTACTGGACTCTCAGATCAGTGGCTATATAACCTTGGTCTGCGGCAGCACACCAAGGCAAGCCTGTTGATGGAGCTCCTTACACCTACCACTTTCTCCATCATAGTAGTTGTCCAGTTGCATTTCTTTCATCGTCCATTTCTGGCAATGATTGACATACGTAATGCCAGGAGCAACACCAATGCTAGTACAGCAGCCAAGTATCAGAGTATCGATGGGGCTGATGACATTCATCATGATGCTGCTGCAACAGGCTCTAATGCAGAAGCCACAGAAGGCCCAACGCTGGAAGATAACCAGCCTACAATGACCAGTGAACATAGTACGCCATCTCCTGTCGTACAACAGAAGTCTGTGTTAGTGACATGTCTGATTAAGGTTGTACAATTCTACAATGAAGTGACAGTGTTGCTATGGAGACTTGGTGAGATTCACATGCCGAAACTTGTGAATTTCATTCTGATATGTGTGGTTGTCTACCAGGTTAGTATTTGTTTTAACTAATATTTTGATTTCATGTAATTCAGTCTTTACTCCGGGTTTCCATATTCTGCTAACTCAATATTTCAATGGTTTGTTGTGAAATTGGTTTTTCACTGCTGTTCGTCAAGAACATAAGAGGTACCGACCAATTATTCATGATTGACAGCAGAGAAAAATCACATTTCAGTTTGCAGATTGAAACTACCGAGTTTGCAAAATATTAAAAACCCCTTAAATATAGGGTGTTTTATCATTATTTTGTATTTTGCATCAAGATAGAACTCTTTACCTTGAGCGTAAATGTTTTCCCATTTCAGACCACATGTCATTTTTTTAAGAATAAGATTCTTTGTTTGAGTTGTATCCATATTCATGTGTCTTCTCATTTGAAAACGTTAAACAAAGAAATGATGCTCTAGGGAATGAGATATGGTATGAAATGGGAATACATTGCACCCAAGGTAGAGGTTGATATAGTCCAATAATAAGGGAAATTCAGTGATATTGAAGAAAAGTAATATTTTTTCAATGAATTGTGTATACTCAAATATTATTTTTCCCCCTCAGGTGTGTGCAGTCAATGCAGTTATCATCATCCTGCTGGGCATATCCATGCCCTCACGCATGGTACAAAGAGCGTTATCCTATTGTTTTCTCATATGGAGCTCTCTAGTGATACTTAGTAAGATGATCTACCAGCTCAGGTTTGTCCAGGCAGACTTATTCCAGCACAACTGCACGGACAAGGTTAGTAGATTTTTGAGTATTATAAAGTATTTTAAGCCCAACACACTAAACATTTTCCAAGCTATTTACACTCAAAGCACAGGAGAAAATCAACAAGCAACTCTACTAGCATATGAGCGTGAGTTCAAGAATCAAACCTATGTCACAGTTGAGAGGCGAGAACTCTCATCACAATACTATACGCCATTCATGCAATGTCCTATATTGGAGTATAAACGTTTATGTGTTTGTTTTCCAGTCATTACCAGTGCCAGCCAACATTAGCCATTTCACCAACAATGCATTATGGGTTGGGTTTTACAAGACAGACGTCATCTCTGAAGACATTAAGGTATGGCTTTATTTACGTGTATGGACGATTGCAAAAAAATTAATAGCCTTTCCACGGTTGCAGGAAAAACTGAATCAGGTTGGCACTGCAGTGGATTTACAATGTATTTCTAAGATGGCATCTATTTCCACCCCTACACTGTAAAGCATTCTAATGCACTTAAAAAATGCCAACTCATCCCAGTTTTTTTCTCATTCCTGGAAGAGCTGGAAGAGCTTTCAAGTGTGATATCACTTTTGGGAAAATGACTTCTGGGTCCAAAATGAAAAGCAGTTATATAAAGATTTTTCTCACTTTTTCTTCATGACAGGATTTGTTGTCCATAGTTCTAATTGTTTCAGGTTTAATCATCAAGAACATATTTTGCTTTGTATGTCAAAATAATTTGCTGATATAAAGAATTTCTCAAACATACATATAGTTATAAGCAAAAGTAAAAGTTTGGTAATAGCTTCAAATGTTTTCAACAAGTGTCATCTTCAGAAATCTTGCTTTATTTTAGTGGTTTTTGTGAGCAATTCCATCTGGAAACATGTCTAAACACAACTTAAAAGCTCTATGTCATCTTTCTATTTGCATTTCATATTATTTCTCTGTTTCAGGGTTACCTATTTATTGTCATTGCTATTGTATTGCAAGCAGTCATCAAACACCATCAGGTAAATAATAATCACAACTGTCTCATTTAGCCTATGGCTATACAGCTGCCTAGTATTAATCTTCTGTCTAGCTTCTTGTAGTTTAATGTACAGTATGTATTTTATTGCAAATATGTTACTCAATTTTTCAAAAAAAAGATTGACATTATTTTCTTATTTATGAAACTTGAACTGAATGGACCAAATCCACTTTCAGACCATGTCTCATTCCCCAGAGTATCATTTCTTTGTTTAACGGTTGCACATGGGAAGACACATGAATATGGATACAACCTCAAACAAAGAATCTTATTCTCAAGAAAATGACATGTGGTCTGAAACAGTCAAAACGAGCATCTAAACAACACAGGATTAATAGAGGTGGAATAGTCTGTAGTTCTCCTTTTAGTGGTGTGCTTTTTACCCCATCAGCTCAGCTTGTTTGGGACTGTACTATTGTGAGGGAGGTGGTTGTTCAAGCTATGGCTGCACCAACACTCTGGGCTTATAATATCTGAGAAGAAGTTGTTACCTTTGCTCTAAAAATATATGCAAATAGTAATAGACTTTTGCCTTGGCTCAGATTTCCCCTTAAAATTCCAATCCAATTTCATTTAGAAATGTTTAACGCTCATTGTTGTGATTCGCATTTTTCTCTCATTCTTACCTCTTCCTCTAGAAACTTTACCGCATAAGACGAGGCCTATCAGATCCTGAACATGGTGTTCTCTTCATGTCTGCCTCACGTAAAAAGGCTGATGTAAACCTGATTGAATGCTTGAAATACTTGGTCAACAAGTTCTTCTTCCACTTTGGATGGGAGGTATGTAACTGATATGTGCAACTGCAATATGTAAACACTGGTCAAAGCTGAACCTTTTCCCTAAGAAATTAATAATTAATATATGTTTAATAGAGGCATCACCATCATTATCATCACCAACACCACAATCACCATCATCACCATCACCATCACTACCATCACCACCGCCACCACCACAATCACCATCATCACCAACATCATCATCACCGCCATCATCATCATCACCGCCATCACCACCTCCATCAACATCACAATCATCATCATAACCACCATCACCACCACCATCACCACCATCATCATCACCACCATCATCATCACCACCATCACCACCATCACCACCACCATCATCATCATCACCACCATCACCACCATCATCACCATCATCATCATCACCATCACCACCATCATCATCATCACCATCATCATCATCATCACCATCACCACCATCACCACCATCACGAGGTCTGGTATCCTGGGATAATAGGTTGCTGAACAAAAATAAATAAATAAACACAAACAAAAAAAATATTGCACAACAAAAAAAACAGTAAATAGTAAAAATTTAATAAATAATTTGCTGCCCTTAGGTCAGTCCAAAGTTTTCCCTTCCCTATCCCAACCTCCTGGCTGGTAAATAACCTTCTCTTCTTTAGGTCTCTCTACTTGTCGTGGTGTACAACATGGCAGTACGTTGTGACGTCACTTCCGTCATCTATGCAATCTGGCTGGGAGTGTTTTTAGCTCTGGGGAGAAAGAACTGTGCAGTGGTTTGGCCGGTATATGTTGGTTTTCTAGCATTTTTACTGCCATTACAATACCTGCTTTGTCTTGGCTGGCCACCTGGACTTTGTCTTGGTAAGAATAACGACTATCAACTCAGAGCCCTGTCCAGGGGCATAGCCAGGATTTGCCAAAGGGGGGTGGGGAGGGGGTAGGCCCAATTTTTAAAAACCGACATTTTGTTTGAGCCCCTAAAACGCCGAAGCAAAATAAGAATAATAATAACAATAATAATAATGATAATGATGATAATGATAATGATAATGATAATAATAATGATGATGATAATGGTAATGGTAATGAGAATGATAATAATAATAATAATAATGATGATAATAATAATAATGATAATAATAATAATAATGATGATGATAATGATAATAATAATGGTAAAGATAATAATAATGATGATGATGATAATGATGATAATAATAATAATAATGATAATAATAATACTAATAATGATGATAATGGTAATGGTAATGATAATGATAATAATGCTGACATTATGTTTTACGTTTTATTTCTACACTTTTACAAAAACAAAATTTTTTATGTTGCCACGAAGGGGGGGTAGGGGGAGGGTGACCCTGTCCCCCTTCGCCTAACTGCCTACACCCCTGCTGTCATCCTAACTACGCATGCCCAACAAAATGTCAGAAACTCTGGGAAAGCCTAGAATTTCAAGACCTATAATTAGCTAGGATATTTCTTGCGATAATTGATTGAAAAACTGCACTAGCAAACCAGAGTCCTTGCAATAAACGATAACAATAGGCCCTTTGCAGTTAACGGTCACGTGTCTGTACTAATGAACAAATATTTTTTTAAATTTTAAATTGGTGATTCTTTTTAGCTACTTGTAAAGAACTGAATGAAACGATGTGTAACCAGTGTGTTACGAAATGCAGCTTTATTACGATCTCTCGAAACAAGTTGTAGAAAGCTTGTTTGCTCGTCAGTATATTTCACGCATGGGAATCAAGATGTTCATTCATTTGCTATCAGTGAATTAATCAGCACGTGATTACTGAGCTACGAAGGGCCTATTGCCTTGAAAGTTTATAAAATGGCAGCGGTAAAGCAATAAAAACAGTTTTTTTTTCTTGAGTAAAATATAAAACCATGCGCGCTCTAAGTATAATTATTCAAATTCAAGTATGCGCATTACATACCAGGTAGCCAGATTTCACTGTTTCAGTGACTGTAGTCTTATTGTTTTTGTCGTAGCCTATCCATGGACAAGATCTCTTGATCCTAACCTTGTTCACTGGCTGTATCTTACTGATGTCACGTATCCACCAGATCCTAGACTACTCATAGGTATAGTAAAGTGATGTTCTTCATTTGCCTGCCTGTCTGCTTGAATGAAGCTGAAGTTACGCGGGACGATTCACAACGACGATTTTTTGCGATACAAATCGTGGATTTTTAATACATGTTACACGAGTCGACTTTTCGCGTAACGTTCGTTCGAAAAAACAACACGTTACACTGGACGATTTTCAGCGATTTTTAAAAGTAACAACATCGTCCTCAGTCCTCGTACATCTGTCAAAGCCGCCATCTTGTTTGTCGACGTCGCCTCGTTTCTATGAGAGCATTGAACTGCATTTTGGGTATGCGTTGAGCGAAAAATCGTTGATGAAGCTGTTACACGAATCAACTTCCAAAAAAAATCGCCATTCTGCGTTGTGAGTCTTGAAGCTGAATCGAAAACTTGCAACGCGTTGCCGAATCCGAAAATCGTTGTGCGTGGCATGTTACACGGCATAAATAGTTCTCGCAACGGCGTATCGCGAAAAATCATCGTTGCTAATTGTAACGTGTGACATCAGCTTAAAGTGGGGCGAAAATATGAACCATGGGTAATCAGGCAGCATTCTAATTAAGAGGACATTTTTTCAATAATGAGCAATAATGGCAAAAAGCGCCAAAAACTAGACTTTCGTATGAGTTTTGATCCCAATTTTCGTTTTGGGTTAACACTCAAAACCTTTTTTAAACAGTTAGAAACTTATGTACTATGATAAAATGCCTGTTTGAAGCGGTATTTTCAATTGTACAAAGATGTTTTGTTGCATTTTGTGTCTGAATAACAAGATTTTAGCCTTGTACAACAGCCTTTCTTCAAGAAAATAGTTTTTGGCGCTCACTGCTTGAATACGAAAAGAGTTCTCTCTTAACCTTTTATTTTCTTCCCCTACTTTGCTTTTCCCTTCCTTCCTTCCATCCATTAATTTCTTATACTTCCATCCCTCTCCATGCATCTATCCTTCCATTGTTACTTTCAACCATCCTTTCTTCCTTTTTTCGTCCCTCCTTCTCTTTCTCCTTCCATCCCTCTTTTCTTTCTTTCTTTTCTTTTTTAGCCTTACTGATCCTATCTTTTTCCATTCCCAGGAGACTTCATGCAGCTTCTCTTTGCATGTTGCCAGGAAAACGTCTTCAGCCTTGAGCGTTATTCCTGGTCAAGTGAAGAAGAACCAGCCCAGCCCAGCAACACCTCGAGACGAAGCAGTAGAAATAAAATCCACACACCTGATTTTATGTGGAACATTACCTGGCTAGACTTCACTAAGGTAAAGGACTTGCTTATTATCCAAAGTGAGAAATACAGGCAGAGGGGGAAGCGGGTGGGTTAGGTATTTACGACTTCCATATAAGTTAACCCCTCCCCCCCACCTCCAGATCCATTCTCTGGGGAAGGCTGGTGCAAATCATGGCATACTGGAGCTTCAAAATTTTTCTGATCCACATCTTGGTATCTTGGTCTGACAAAATTTATTTTCTCACTCAAAACTCTTCAAAATTCTTAGAAAACAAGCTGAAGTGCACGCATGCGCAAACGTTTTTCTCTAGTGTCACCGATACCAAGTTTTATTGCCCCTAATTTTTCCATATGGTGTTGAATTCGTGTTGCAGTTGGTGCTGTTCCAACACATCTACTGGATTACCTTAGCCGTGGTCTACATCACAGTACAGAGTACTATCAGTATATTCAACATTGGGTTTATTCTCTGGTGTTTCTTCTTCTTATGGCATGGACAAGCGCTCTACTTAAAGCCAAAGAAGAAGCTTCTCACGCTCTGGAAAACATTCATCTGCTATAACTACTTTATCCTTCTTGCTAAAGTTTGTCTACAGGTAAGAAAATACATTGGGATTCAAAGTCCTGCAAGCAGAGAAGCTAGTGCGCCCTCATGGTGGCTTCGTAATAGAGGTTTTGCACCATCACGTGTTCATACCCATAATACATCTTGGGCTGCCTGTGGTTAGATGACAGAGCAATAAAATCCCTTTGCTCTTGGGAATTGAGTTCTTTCTCATGTGTGGCGATTGGATCGTTCCTGCCATCTAACATGGCTGCCGTCACGTGATGGTGCAAAACCTCTATATAGACCATTTAAGCTTGGGCATAATGTTTTCCCATTTCAGACCACGTGTTCTCTTGGGAATAAGATTCCATTTTTTCCATTTCACACTTGTCTGGCAAATAGACCTTTTAAACTTGGGTGTAACGTTTTCCCATTTTAGACCAATAAGAATAGGATTCTTTGGTTGGGTTGTTGTGAGTCCAGTCCAGTGAGTTTATTTTCTCACTGGACCCTGAAGATGATTTCCGCTCAGGTTGTTGAAACGTCAGTCACCACCAACAGTCTTTCTCAAGACTACACTCACCACTGTTTCCATTGCCACTCGCCAACCAAGACAACATCCAATCATAATGAGATGACCTTACATTGAATAATCTACCGGTGCGAAAAATGTGTGCGTACAGGTCTTGTGGCCATACTATGACTCACACGAAATCTTCTTTTAATATTTTCAGGCTGTATCGTGCGTCTGGATGCAAGCTGTTCAAGACTACACAGGGTGCTGGCCCTTACAGCTGCTAAGCATGTTCTGTCTCCGTGATGCAGGCTATCAAAACAAGAAGGCCATAACTGACAGTGACTGCGTTGCCCCTGACGACACGGGACTGGCCATGGACTGTGCTTGTATCACCTTCCTGTTGTTCCAGTATCGAATCTTCTCGTCGGATTACTTCCGTCACGTTGTAAGAGACCACAAGGAACAATCTGATATGGCTTCTAGGTAGGATTGCGTGACACAGACATGACTCTTAGAATACCAGTGCTGATACTTAATATGTGCGTATGTAGATAGCAAGCGTGTCTATGTTCAATCATTGCGTGACCTACACATGACTTAGATTAACAGTGCTGATACTTAATATGTGCATATGTAGGGAGCAAGCGTTTTTATGTTCAATAACTGCGTGACGCAGACATGCGTCACATTGCTTGCTCATCGTTGACGTCACTATTCTTTCAGAGGTGCTGAGCTTGTTAATCTACACTTACGAAAGCAACTGGACTCCAAGGTCCTGGAAGACAAGCAGAAAATGGACAGAATAAAAAGATCGTAAGAAAAAATATACCATCTGCTACATTTATAATTCTGTACCCTAGGGGTGGTACTTCATGTGAAAAATTCTTTCAATTGATAGATAAGGAGGAATGCGTAAACCACTAGAAGTTAATACAACACGAGGTACCGACCCAAAGCATTTTATAGTTGGCGTGAACCCATCCCCCCTCCCATAAAAAAGTTTTGGTGGGAAAGTCTAAAGACGAAACGCGTACGTGTGTGTATTGGATGGAAAATTGGTTAATTGACCCTTCTGTGACCGAGTCTTCGCTACGCCCCTGTGAAGTGGTGTCGAGAATGCCAAACATTTCATTAGGTTTATCAAGACATGACTGAATAGATTTTGCTCTTTCTCTTCAAGTGTCAACAAGTTGGTAGAAAAACTCTCCAAACTTCACCCAGCTGGAGTGGAGTATGCACCACAGTCACATTATGAAGGTAACTGATCGACAACTCTGTCCTATGAGCCGTTTTGATGTTGAGGGGGAAAACTGGGTCGAGTTAGTATTGCAGTGCATTGTGGGGCTGTTTTTGGGGACACATTTCCAAGATGGCGGCTATTTCGTCCTCCTACGAATGACGCAATAGAAAGTGCGCGCGCGTGCTGTGTGCTCTAATAATGCACGTGCTTCCAACCAATCAGAACTAAACATTAATAAGACGCCTGTTTTATTGACACAATAGAAAGTACGCGCGCGTGCTGTGTGCTCTCATAATGCACGCGCACCCAACCAATCAGAACTAAACATTAATAATACGCCGGTTGTATTGACGCAATAGAAAGTGCGCACGCGTGCTGTGGGCTCTCATAATGCACGCGCACCCAACCAATCAGAACTCAACATTAATAATACGCCGGTTGTATTCATTCATAGTGTAATCTTTTTTATCTTATTCTTGTTGACAGCAATATATTCTGGGGATTACTACTGGTTCGATTCTGATTCAGAGAGTGATTCAGAGGCTGATAGTCCATCGGTCAGCCCTATCCATGACAGTAGAGGAAGCTCCTCTTCTGACGAGGAGGAAAAACCATCAACCAGTCAAGGTTTGTACCTGACGGCTGTTCATTTGGAAACGAGTAGGGCGAGTAGTGGATGGCGGAACACACTTTCCTGTTGCTACGTTGATGTTGCTATATTATTGATACTACAATGTTGCTATTATGTTTCGGTTGCTATGTTACTGTTGCTATGCTGCTGTTGCTATATTTCTGTTGCTATGATCCGGTTGCTATGTTACTGTTGTTATGTTTCTGTTGCTATATTTCTGTTGCTATGTTTCGGTTGCTATGTTACAGTTGCTATGTTGCTTGTGCTATATTTCTGTTGCTATATTTCTTTTCCTATGTTTCGGTTGCTATGTTGCTGTTGCTATGTTGCTGTTGCTATGTTACTGTTGCTATGTTACTGTTGCTTGCTGTAGCTACGTTGTTACTGATTTGTCACAATGCTGTTGTTTTTGCGTTGATGCTGATTATGTCTTTAGTGGCGCTGTTATTGTTGTCATTTTTTTGTTTCTTTCCTGTTTTCTTACATTTATTTATTTTTCATTTTCAAGATGCCGAATCTGGTCCCTCAACTTCCGGTAGACCTGTATCCCGAACCGGAAGAGAATCCATCGGCTCCACCTCGAGCATCGCCGATTACGTCAACGTCCCAACCCCCGAACCTTCCCCGGCCGTAGTCGAACCAGAAGGACTGGTGAATAAAGTGAAGCGATGGTTGAGTTGGATTTATTATTACATAGCTATGGTAGTGGACAGTGTTATCAAAGTGTTGAGAGAGATATCCAAGAATTATCGCTCAATTGCTGATCAACTGAAGAAAGAAAGAAAGGAAAAACGAATCGAAAAGCTTCGAAGAAGTAGACTAAGCCATCTGCACCCCAAACCGACCTACACGGAGACCTCATTTTCTGATACTCTGGGTGAGACTAAGGTTAGTTCAATCACGTCATTTACGGTCTCATTTACGGTCTTGTTTACGGTCTTGTTTACGGTCTTGTTTACGGTCACACAGAGGCCTCATTTTCCAGGACCTGATGCTATGGTCTTTATGAGTGGGAAACGATACGATCAAATTCGTAGCCGTACAGTAGCCTTACCGCGCCGTGTTTTACCCTAACCGTACCCTCGCGTTGTGGTTGGATGAATTACTGAAAGATAATGGGCTGTCATTTCAATGTTACGGCATGTCGTACTGTAAGTCAGTATCGTATGTTTCCCACTCATACGATAACCATTCTTATGGGAAGCCATTTCAATGTTACGGCAAGTCGTACCGTGTATGTGCTGTAAGTCAGTATCGTATGTTTCACACTCATATGATAACCATTCTTATGAGAAGCCATTTCCATGTTACGGCATGTCGTACTGTAAGTCAGTACCATATGTTTCCCACTCATATGATAATCATTCTTATGAGAAGCCATTTCAATGTTACGGCACGTCGTACCGTGTACGTGCTGTAAGTCAGTACCGAAAGTTTCCCACTCATATGATAAGCATTCTTATGGGAAGCCTTTTCAATGTTACGGCATGTCGTACTGTAAGTCAGTACCATATGTTTCCCACTCATATGATAACCATTCTTATGGGAAGCCTTTTCAATGTTACGGCATGTCGTACCGTGTACGTAGTGTAACTCAGTACCATCTGTTTCCCACTCATACGATTCGTACATTCTAGATTATTAGTAGATGTAAGGCTGGTGAAAATAATCTTGGGATTAATGATATTTGTGACATTGATACCAAGAAATTTCAAAAGAATCCATCATAATGAATAGTTTGCAAGCGTTACAAGATAGTCAAAACAAAAAGACATGACAGCCATGTTGGCGGTAGCTAATGGAGACGTCTTATGTTAAATACCGCCAACATGGCGACGCGTTGTGACGTACAAATGAACAACTGTTTTCTTCCTTCAAACAGCACCACTCAACAAAAGGTAATACAGACGAAGAATACGACTCATGGTCAATGGTGGACCTTGAAGAGACAGACGCGCCCAACTGGAAGCACTCGCAAATGAGAGTAGCGAGATTCACTGTTGCCTTCGTGTACGCTCTACTGGCACACACCGATATCATCTGTTATATGCTGATGATACTCAACCATATGGTGTATGCCTGCTTGCTGTCCATGCCTCTTCCTTTCCTTGTCTTCATGTGGGGGATGTTATCTATACCACGCCCTACTAAACGATTCTGGATCACCGTTATCACCTATACTCAGGTAAAGAAAGAAGGAAACCCGCATAACATATTAATAATAATAATAATATTAATAATAATAATAGAAATAATAATAATGATAATTTTTAATTTAAATATTAATGATAATAATCTTTATTGACAGTTATAATAATAATATCCAATTTACAAGTCTAAAAATACATTAACATGTTAAGGTCGATTCAGATTAAGGATTATTATGTATATATATTTATTTAAATTAATAGTAATAATAATAATTTAGACTCAGTATATTAAAAATTATGAATACATATATAGAACTATTAAAATATTGAAATATTATTTACAAACTAATAATTAAGGGGGAAAATATATATATATTATAAATATATGTATAATTTGTAAAAAAAACGTCTATTATATAATAACAACACAATTAATTGATTTTCTATTAATATAGATAATAGTTAATCTAAGTAGAAGACTTAATGGCTCCTTGGACAGGAGTGAGCGTTGCGTAACGACACTGATAGGCAAGCCCTATAGGTGGTTTATACACCGAGATAGTGCCAAAAATTGCTTATCTTGGGGAGCAAATGTTATATAGAGGCTGTGATGGAATTTAAGCAATTATATTTCATATTTCTGTTGCCTAGTTACGGTTTGAAACGATAGCGACCCTTCTTTCTTCTAGGTTGTCATAGTGATAAAGTATCTGTTTAAGTTTCCATTCATCGAGTTCAACACGTGTAACGGTAAAGACGGCGGAGACAAAGATGATCCACTCTGTTACCCAAGGATTATTGGCATAGAACGAGTTACCCATACCTCGGCCTATGACCTACTGTTGTTACTGGCCTTGTACTTTCATAGATACTCTCTCAAGGTTTGTGATAGAGTTGTGACGTATTTCCGGGTCCAGGTGCTCACAAAATTCGCTAAAATAAAACGAAAAATGTTCTCATTGTTTTAACCTCCTCTTAAAACATTTTGAAAAAGATTGCCACAGCTGCAGTCAAAACGTCATGTTTTATAAACAACTTAACAACTTAGTATGTTCGCGCGCATCCTTTCTACGCGCGCTCATCGTCATGACGTCATTCCAATGATTTGATAAGCAAAAAGCTAAAACAAAATCGGGGACCCCTATTTTTTGCTTATTTTATTTCTTATGATGTAGTTTCATCTTGTAAAATTTTAAAAATCTTACGATGGGAACATTTGCCCATGAACGTCGTTAAACGCGTAAAAACCGTAAGTCTCTTTTCTATCATGAATGCCTCAAGGATGATAGCAGCGCGCGATATTTCGTATAGTCTGTTGCGGTAGTTGATTTAATGCGTTTTTGTCGTGCAACGTGTAAGGTTTTATCGTGTCTTGTTGTTGTTGTGTTTAGGTTCACGGTTTATGGCGAGACAAGGCAGTAGGCGCAGATGATGCAGATGATACCCCAGTCTCACCCATGTCTCCTAACGATGGTAAGATTAAAGTTTATTTTAAAAAATAACTGTTGTAAATCTCGCGTTCTGATTGGTTGAAGGCGCATGCATTATGAGAGCTCACATCACACACTTTTTGAGTGTTTTGGCGCTTCCTAAGCGCTTTAATACTGAACAGAGCACCAAATAAAGTTGTTTTGATCGTTTTATTAAATGGGGGAAAGTCCGTACTAGTTTTGGATGCTGTATCCTTACAGTTCTTTACATAGTTTTCTACGCGCGGATGGCGTCCACAACTGTGCTCCATTCACTAATAAAGCACTGTTTTCTACCAATCACATCGTGCACACTATCTAAGCTTTATAACAATCTTCTATGTTTCCAATCTGGGCCCCCTCCCCTCCCCCCACTTAGGATGCCCCACGATTGTTGTCATAGAAATGGAATTACTCCTCTGCTTACTTCATAATATATTGTATATGTTGATTCATTTGTAGAAGAGCAGTTAGGCTTTGAAAGACACCCATCTAGAGCATCTACCACGGCTACTGACAATTCCCAGGTACTAGCTTTTGGCTTCTCTTCCTTAGTTTCTATGTTATTATGTATGTTTTGTGTGTGCCTACATTAGTGTGTGGGGCAGGGCGTGGGGAGGGCTTGGTATTGTACAATTATTATCTTATTCCTTTTTCTTACCAAATGATACACTTACTTAAGTTTTTTTACATCAGGATCATGATGGTGAAACATTATGGAACAAGTAAGTACCAAGCAGGGGAGGGGAGTGGTTCACGTAGCTCATTGCATAACATCGAATCTAAAGTGACGAATATTGCACACATGGGAGATTTTTTCTGGAAAGAGGAGGGGGAGGGGGGAGGGCAAGGGGGCGCCCTCTGATTTCATAAATTTGCATAGGAAGACAGAAATAACTTATCGATGTAATGATTGTTTTAGGATCGTTAGATCAGTGAGAGCCTTCTTGCATCGTATTTACGACCCTGAAACTGGTTCAGGTGCTGTAGACGTGTACGCCATGATGTTTGCCTGTCAGTTTATCATCTTCATCATCATTTTGTTCAGCTGGTCTGCATTCTCGTCACCCGAGGTAAGACACGCAATAGTGGTGTTGATATTGGTGATAGTGATGGTGGTGGTGATAATGATGATGATGTCTGTGGTGATGGTAATGATAATGGTGATAGTGATGGTGGTTGTGATGTTGATGATAATGATGATAGTGATGGTTGTGGTGATGAGGATGATGTTGATGATGGTAGAATGATAATAATGGTGATGGTGATGATGTCCGTGTTGATGGGGATGGCGATGATGGTGTATTGATGATGATGATGATAATGGCAATAATGATGATGTCGTACACTGCTTAAAGTTCTTGACTTCCCTCCAGACGCAGAGAAAGGAAAAACATTTGGCGAGTCCTTAGGTGGTGATGACAGATCCTCAAATAGCCTCCTCCTCCACAGGCATCTCCTTGGTTCTTTTTGCTCCTTGGGCTCCCTGTGGCGTTCCTAGTCCTTCTCTGTCATAAAATTTAACACAGGAATCCCAACAGAGAATACATGGGGTAGCCTGCGGAGGAGGCTAATGGTGTTAATAATATTATTCATGGTGTTAACTATGTTGATAATGATGATACTGATGATAGATGTTTGGACATCCTTATGATTCTAATAGCAATTTTGATGTTATTATAGCCTCAACGACAAGCTCAATTCGTTAAAATTGTCGAAGAAAATGTGGTACGTATTTATACAAAAAAAATGTTATCTTCAAATAAGAGTCAGTTAATTCATTTTTAACCCTGGTTGTCTTATTACTAGGTTCCCAAGACGTTCCTGTACATGTTGCTGACACAGTTCATCCTCATTATCTTGGACAGGTATCCAGTATTTCCCAAGGAAAATAATCCATTATTCTATATCCCTCCCCCCGAGAGATAAATATTTTCCTGTGGAAAATGGCTATCGAATCACGGGAATATTTATCGCTCGTGATCGGAATGCACTCGGCCCGTGGCTGTCGAGTCACGGGAATATTTATCGCTCGTGATCGGAATGCACTCGGCCCGTGGCTGTCGAGTCACGGGAATATTTATCGCTCGTGATCGGAATGCACTCGNGTCACGGGAATATTTATCGCTCGTGATCGGAATGCACTCGGCCCGTGGCTGTCGAGTCACGGGAATATTTATCGCTCGTGATCGGAATGCACTCGACCCATGGCTGTCGAGTCACAGGAATATTTATCGCTCTTGATCGGAATGCACTCGGCCCGTGGCTGTCGAGTCTCGGGAATATTTATCTTTAAACGCCAAACGGCTTCAAACGTCTGGAGTCGGTTAGGTCGCAGAAACATGAGACGGGCTGTAACGTTGATAACAAAAAATCATGATAGAATATTAAATGGGATTTTTCTTTGTTACAGATGTTTCTACTTACGGAAGTACGTGTTCGCCAAGCTGTTCTACTTGCTGTTTCTCGTGGTTGCCTTCCATATCTTCATGTTCATCATTGTGCCTTACGTTACTAAGAAGTAAGCCATGTTTTTTTGTGTTATCTTTATTGGGTAAATTCAATAGTGTAATATTCTTCCCCGGGTATTGTTATTCATGAGATGGTAATGAGGAATGGGGAATTGCGATGGCCTGGGACACGCCTAGGCCAGGGCAAAATGTTTGTGGGATCCAATTCAAACCCGGTCTTCCTATGGGGGGGTGGATGGGGCGCACTCAATGTTTACCAAGCGGCTGCCTCGAGTACAGTGACACTAGGACCACGTGGACTCCCTTTTGTTATCTCATTTGCATAATCCCTAGGAAATCACTTTGCATATGCAAATTAATTTTGCATAGTCAATGTGCACGAGCACGGACCTCTAGCATAAAGCATGATGGGAAACCGAGCCGGTATTTACGCTTTTTCAGCTCAATTCATACATTACTCATACATTGTTGTACATGATAATAGTTGGAACTGATGTTATATTCTTTCTTCCAGTCCATTCTACAAAAACATCCCTGCCATCTTCATGTACATCTTTATGTGCATGTATTTTGGTCTGTCAGCCTATCAGATCCGAAGTGGATACCCGACAAGGATTCTGGGAAACTTCCTCACTAAGAGCTACACTCTAACCAGTGGGGTCCTCTTTCAAGGGTGAGTGAAAAATATATATATAACCTGTACAAGAACTTTGGCAACATGTATCATACGCCCATTTTACAAAACGTAGTCAGTTGGATTAACGCACTTCAACTTAACAAATAAAACAGCTTGTTCTCCGTGCTGCGTTCAGTAATAAAGCACTTAGCACGCAGGAAGTGGCGTAAGCACGAAAGAAGTTTGTGAGGAGAAGCACGAGCCGTAGGCTTCTCACACTTCTTGATTGCTTACGTCACTTACTCCGTGCTAAGTGCTTTATTACTGTTTTATTTGTTTTATTATATAGTTACTAATTTTATTTTGGTATTCAATTTATTTATGCAAATAGAAAGTCGGTCGCAGGATCTAGCAGCACCTCGCGCGCGCGGAGGGCGCCAGCACTGTGTTCCGTTCATAAATAGAGACCTTTAGATGCGACGACGAGTACGAGAACGAGCACGATTACGAGTTTTTAACTTTTAAAGAGAGGCACTATCTTTTTGTACTCGTGATCGTGTGCGTAGATTGAAACTTTAGACTGTAAAAAATCGGAAATCGACTACGATTTAGTGTTAACCACGTGCACAGGACCAATTTTAAAACTCGTACTCGTACTTGATCTCGTACTCGTCGTCGGATCTAAAGGTCGCTAATAAAGCACAGTTTTCGACCAATCAGCGCGCACGTACTATCCTAACTATATAATACTTGTTTATAACACTCTCATCTCTCTATTTAGTTTCCAGGCCATCCCGTTTCTCCTGGAGCTTCGTAGCGTTCTTGACTGGGCGTGTACAGACACTACACTGAGCTTGTACCACTGGCTTAAGATGGAAGACATCTATGCTAATATCTATGTACTGAAATGCTATAGGGAATCAGAAAAGGTAAGTAAAGAGAAAGTGTGTCTTATACGGCTGAACGAAACCACGAAATGGAACTAATTAGCTATTCCCAGGTTAAGGAAGAAAACTGGGTCGAGATGGCATTGCAATGCATTGTGGGGCTGTTTAAGGAGACGAAATAGACCCCCTCGTAGCACGTTGGAATGCCGCTTAATTTGAAGGGCATAACAATAGGTTTCCAATTCTCAGGAGATTGAAATTCTTTTGTTTTGTCCTCCAAATTGAGCTGCTTTGACGTCACATGCAAGGGGTCTATAGACGCCATCTTGAAAAATTATCCCCTAAAACAGCCCCACAATGCACTACAATGCCATCTCGACCCAGTTTTTTTCCTCAACCTCAGAATGACCAATAGACTTTATTCGTGTTTGTGCAATTTTTCCATTTCATACCACGTATCATTTCCTATGGAATGAGATCAGATTTTTTGTTCTTTTAAAATGTATTCATATTCGTGTGTTTTCTAATGCGCAACCGTTAAACAAAGAAATGATACTCTAGAGAATAACACGTGGTCGGGAATGGAAAATCATCGAGTTGAGCTGCACGTGTGCGAGCTACACGTACGCCACGCAAGCGTGTTTTTTTTTTAATGTCTCTGATGTCATTACTTGATGTATTTAGACGTGGTTCCAAGCACGAGGTCAAAAGTACTGGATACTCAGTAAATGTACACTGGGTGGTCTACTGATCATGTTACTAGTGCTGGTCATATGGTTCCCGCTGTTGCTCATGTCTTATATCAACTCTGTATATACTAGTAACCCACCACAAGACGCTACCTTTACTTTATCTATCGGTGGATATCAGGTAGGGAATTGATTGATATATAAAATTGCCCGTCATGTGCTATCAAACAGAGAGCATGGACCCCTTGCAGTACGTCTGAATGCAACTCAATTCGTAGGACAACAATAAATATCCAATTCTCAGGAGATTGAAATTCTTTTTTTTTGTTCTCTAAATTGAGCTGCTTTGACGTCACATGCAAGGGGTCTATTTGGAGGACATAACAATAGGTTTCCAATTCTCAGGAGATTGAAATTCTTTTGTTTCGTCCTCCAAATTGAGCTGCTTTGACGTCACATGCAAGAGGTCTATTTGGAGAACATAACAATAGGTTTCCAATTCTCAGGAGATTGAAATTCTTTTGTTTTGTCCTCCAAATTGAGCTGCTTTGACGTCACATGCAAGAGGTCTATTTGGAGGACATAACTATAGGTTTCCAATTCTCAGGAGATTGAAATTCTTTTGTTTTGTCCTCCAAATTGAGCTGCTTTGACGTCACATGCAAGGGGTCTATTCTATTGCTTGGTATCAATCAGGTGAATGAATCTTGAATCTCGTCACCAGCCTACAATGGCAGTCAAAAACTGCACGTCATGTGCCGTCAACCAGAGAATATTCTATTGCTTGCTATCCATAAGCTGAATGAATCTTATTACGAGTCTAGAATGCAAGGCAAATCTTACCCGTCATGTGTTATGGGACGCACCTCCTCAAATTGTAGTTTTTACACCATTTAAAATACTCGTTTTGTGATTTGTTCTTTGTAGCCACTGTTTAGAGTGAGCGCGCAAGATCAGTTTTTACAACAACTAAACGACAGTCAAATAGAGAAAATCAAGCAAAGAAATCCAGGGAAAGGTTACCATAAACAGGTAGGTAACATTTATAAGACTTTATAAAAATCTTATCAATGAAAAGCGTGAAAAGCCCTTCCCAGGGAGATCCAATAAAGTTATTGTCTAGGCTAGCTTTTTTCCACTCAGTCCGCGCCATCGTATCGTAACCTCTTATCCTCTTATCTTACCTCTTGTCTTGCATAAGCTCTTTGTTCATTTTTGCACACGTATTGTCGTTTGTTTTTTTCCATTAAATTTTGAATCAAAGTCTGGTTTAACACTAGCGTCGTAAGCGTCGGAGTCGGAATTGGAAGCGCAAGAAGCTTACGATCTAGTGTGAATCAGAACAACGCAAGCGGTATCGTAAGCCTCGCTTCTTTGCTCGCTTTTTTGTCGTTCCCATAGTTACCTGGTTTGCCGCCATGTTTTCTGCTCTGAATGGCCTGGGTATAAGCCTTGTTATTTGTCAAAGCTTCCGATTACGATTCTTTGCTTCACGCTTGTTCATAAGCCTCGTAATCGGAATCGGAGTCGAAAAAAAAAGAAAACCTTCTGATCCTTCTGCTTCAGATCCCGATCTTTGGTTCCCACTTGAATGAAGCTCCCCTTACGACTCCGCTTCTGAGACCGCTTCCGATTCCGTCGCTAGTGTGAACCAGCCTTTAAGAGCAAGGAGAAGACCACTGATAAACTAACTGGAGAGTCTTGACAGGGTTTACGTTTAGTTTTGAAATAACAGGAGAAAATCATGATAATTTAAGCCGGGGATTCTTGCTTAGTTACCGGAGCATACACCGACCTCCGACCCTTAATGAGAACCCTGGTCCAACCACTGCATGTCTTTTAATCAAAGATTCTTGTTTTCCTCTTATCACAGCAAATCGACTCGTTTCTTCGTGACTATCGTGAGCGTGGCACAGTAGAACTAGTTATGATCACTGGTAACTCCAGCTCGATCTGGCAGATCAGCCCTCCGTCACGTGATCTTATGGTGCACGACCTCTTGGGTGAGAAGAATGTCACTATGAGATTCAAGTATGAGTTTACAAGGTATGACAACTATCAGTGATATATGGGTGCATAAAAGAACGATTGTGTACTGGGAAAGATTTGGTGTAGACTGTCCTCCGAACTCTGTGTAGTTTTATAGCTCGCGACTTGCTCCGCTCAAAAAAATTACTCTCGCGGGAGACAATCCTAGGCTCTGGGAAACCCTGGAAATCTATCAAATTTCATTGGCTGTTGGAAATAACAGCAGCGAACTCAGTCTCGTACCCAGAGCTCCTCGGTTTTGTTCCTCCCCCGAAGAGGAGCCTCGATACCGAGGAGCTCTGTGTACGAGACTGAGTTCGTTGCTGTTATTTTTAACAGCCAATGAAATTTCATAGATTTCCAGTATAGATTTCCAAAAGAGCCTCTTCGGGGGGGGAACGATACCGAGGAACTCTGGGTACGAAACTGCAACGAACTCTTATTAGTCAATAGGATAAACAAACATACGAACGGAAACCAAGCAAGACAAATCGACAAAAATAGATATACACCTACTTGCAAGAACGTTGACTTACGAAAATAGAACATTAGGGGTTTAGTGGGATAGGAATTATATTAAAAAACAAAAGAAGATCACTGACGCTGAACTTTTTCTTTTGTCTTTTAATGTATTCCTTTCTCACTAAATTACTAATGTTCTAATATCGTATGACAACGTTCTTGCAAGTAGGTGTATATCTTAGATTCCTATTTCCATTTATCGAGCATATAAACTTTTCAAAGTAGAAGACGTAAACAAGCCGTTGAAAAGGCTGAGCCAGCATTTCATAGTCAGCGATAGAACATGCGCTCTGACGACCTGGTCGCAAGATCGGTCAGTAGGGTTTCCCAAAGCCTACGGTTTGGCTAATGAGTAGGGTCTGGGAACGAGATTGATTCAACTCCAAACTCTCCCCACTCCAAAACTCGTTACAGGAGTGGTTAGTTACATTTCTTGCAATCATGTTGAACACAGGGAGCCCAAAACTGCATTGGTGCAGGAGACGATATCAGGACAGACGCTGATACCTCTGGACTCTACTACTCGAAGGCAGTTTGCTGATATGTTGAATGGTTCATTTGGTGGACAAGAAATGTGAGTAGTATTTATTTTTTTGCGAGATATTTATTAATAAATTATTATCATCATCATCATCTTCATCATCATCATGCAGCTCAACAGTCCACTTCCAAGATATGCTTCGTTTGTCACGCACAAAGGTTTCATTATGAGGCTACGTACTAAATTAAATTTATTCTTACCGCCTGTTACGAATGACTGAGCATTTAGCACGTAGCCTCATATTGAAACCTTTGTGCGTGACAAGCGAAGCATATCTCGGAAGTGGGCTATTTAGAGGGCATAACAATAGGTTTCCAATTCTCAGGAGATTGAAATTCTTTTCTTTTGTCCTCCAAATTGAGCTGCTTTGACGTCACATACAACACGTCTATACCACCAACATGGCATGTCTCTTCTCTCTTCTGGGAGTAATTTAAAAGATAATACCCATAAGTCATTCTCTCTTTATTTTTCAGTGTAATCAAAGACATGTTTCCCTCGTTCGTAAGTGTGCCAGGCAGCGGTTCGGCCACACCCATAAGAGCCCTCTTCAATGCCAGCTACGTCACGTGTGGCATCAGGATGCGGACGATCGGGCCGCACGTGGAATGGTGGGAGCTAACACAGAAATCACCCAAACCACTATTCGAGGAGAGTGTGCTGGAAATGATAACCTTCAATGACCTGGTGCCGCCTCTACATTTCTCATTTTTTGCCAGCACAGGGTACGTGGCAATAGACCATTCTACTGATACGGCGGCAATCTTGAATTCTATCGTTTTAATAAAGACATTATGGGATGCTGAGGGGCAACTATAGGAAAAACTATAGACAGCACAGCAGTCAGAGTATATCTTTATATAACTTTACGCTTTATCCCCCTTCCCCAACTTTAAAATGTGCTTTGCTGTCCCTGCGTTCTCTAATGATATTCGCCACATTAAGATTTGTAAAATCTACGACGGCGACTTCAACCGGAAGTGTGAATAGTTTCTCATTGGGGTTCTGTTCATTGGAGATTTTATTCAACACATTTTCAGTAAATTTAACTCATCCACAGGGAAGACATACTTTGAAGGCTCGAAACCCCAAAGTGAAGTTATTTACACTTCCGGTTGACGTCGTCGTAGATTTTGAAAATCTTAAGGTTTCTTATTTTGCGGCCGGTCTCTTCCTAAATTCCGTTTCAGTGCCTAACACACGTAGCCTGCTTAGCGGCCCAAGTTGGGGGGGGGG